AATGTACATGTATGCATTCATAACAATGTACATGTATGCATTCATAACAATGTACATGTATGCATTCATAACAATGTACATGTATGCATTCATAACAATGTACATGTATGCATTCATAACAATGTACATATATGCATTCATAACAATGTACATATATGCATTCATAACAATGTACATGTATGCATTCATAACAATGTACATATATGCATTCATAACAATGTACATATATGCATTCATAACAATGTACATATATGCATTCATAACAATGTACATATATGCATTCATAACATTGTACATATATGCATTTATATCTGTTCTTTATTCTTGTTGAAGGATAAATTTTTAAGATGTCTTCAGGTGAATTGAGTGATCTGGTACGGCGTTTGGAAGATGTAACTACACGTCTAGAGAGTGTATCTTTGAAGACAACAGGCGACGTGGCTGTGGTCGATTCTCCAGGTATCAATGAATCCATCAATAATATTGCAAAACGCCTGCAGAATGTGGCTGGTGGTGAAAGCAAAGGAGGTACATTATCATATTCCATTCCCTCCTTCCTTCTGTCTCCTTCTATAAAGTAATCTTCTTATGTCACTTGTTCATTGAGATGATTGACATCATAAGCTAGTATTATTCACTCATTCACTACGTTCAATTACCCACCATAGACTCCGGTCAGTCAAAATGACTATTTTGAACTGTAGGCATTAATCAGCGATTCTGCCGGTGACGGAGAGATAGAATCCAGGTCAGGGGAAGCCCCATGACCTCAAGATTCTTTTACCCCTTACGTCACGAACCCACGTGACCGAAGCCAGGTCAGCCGTTCATCACTCTTAACTTCTCTCCGCCTCGAGTGGAGATGAAATCTAGCGAGCTCTGCTGGATCGCCTGCTTTTTTTCCTGTCCAGATTTATAGCTTGGGTTGTTGCCGCTGCTCGGCATCCGACATTGTAGCTGGTAGAATAAGTTTTCCTTGTCATTTTTACCCTCGTGTCGTTTTCCCCTTTGTGTGTAGTATTTTTCACAGCAAAGAAATCAAAATCCGGCGCCACTACGTAACCAGTTAGTTTTCATGGCGGCACCTTTTACAACTGTAATTCGTTTCCCTCATGCATGTCGTCTTTTATTTTCAATGTATTTAGCAGTATATAGATGTAATGACAGCACCAGGGCTCGCAGCCGTTTTCTTTCCAGTCTCGTGTTTCGAGTCGACTGTGCAGTGGTTATATTCAGAATTTACCAGCATAAACCCGCATCCGAGATACTTTGTCGTAGCTACGTGCGGGTTTTGGGGTTTTTGCGTGAAAGCGTGTTTTTTTCACTGAGTTCTGAGGCCTGAGATTTTCTTTCAGAGCCATCAAGATCGCTGAGACTGACCGCGTCACAGCAAACAAATCGGTTAAAGTGAGTTGCATGTTTTGCATGAGTGGAAAGTCCTCGTGCTCGGCTACCGGTACTTCATGTACCGGGATGTCGAGTAAGGGGTCCGACGGCGGAGGTACCGATATTTTTCTCGGCCTCCCCCGCTGATCGGAGGCATCCTCACAGTCTGTTTTTTCAGGCGGTGTTTTTACCAAATTTCACCGGCTGCAGCGAGGCTGTGCCCCTGGAGGCTTTCCTCCTATGGGGCCCGTTGCGAGTCTCTTTGTGGACCCTTCCTCACACGGCGCCGGGTTTGCCTCCGAGTTGAGGGCTTTGGTCGAAGGACTGTCGGGGCAATTGCGTCCCTGGCAGGCTGGGTAGATCAGACGCAGTCGGAGCGAGCTGTCTCCACTGTGTCCCCTCGGTGGGCAAGCAGGAAGAGACACGAAAGCATGTTTGCATTCAAACACATCTCTTCCAGGGAACCCCCGTTCCGAGGCACGGCTCTCCCACTATTTTGGGGGGTGCCCGAGGCTCAGGCTAATTGCACCGGCCCTTCTCTGGATCCTCGGGCACTGAATGCCAACGGGGTGCTGGCAGCCAAGTCGCCGATCTCGGGGCAGGGCTTTCAGGGCAGGGAACACGTTGACCCCCCCTACTTTCAGCCAGCTAGGGTTTGTCACGCGGTAACGGTACAACGGTAACAAATTTTTCCTTGTGTCCGGTCCACGCTGTGGGTTTTGACTCCTTTCTTACCGACCCACGGGCGTCCCCAGAGGGAACCGACCCTGTCATGAGACGCACAGTCGAACACGCTCCCTCTCACATATTTAACCCTTTTCCGGTCAGGGGAGTTTCACGCTATCAGGTTAAGTCGGAGAAAAACGGTCATGATTCAATGCACTCCAGCAGCCAGCATCTGTGCATGCTATCCTGCCAGACATTTTTGCAAAAATAGGCCATAGTTAACAGACTGTATCGACCACAGTTTTCACATTTTTTGCAATCTGTTCGCATACACACTTCATTACCACCATGGACAACAATTTCTCGTATAAAAAAAATCACCGTTTTATTTCAATACACATTTTTTACTGTCGTTAAGTAATGATGTTTTGCCCTTTGTGCAGTCTCAATAAACACGTGTTAAACATTAAAATAAATATTGCTTAATTGAAAACACATTACAAGCAAGTACAAGGTCACTACATGA